TACAGAATATCAGAACCTCTTAAAAATGGTTTAGACATGGAGAAGAGTTATTCAACTTGAGACATTTTAAAACATCAGTACGACTTTTCTACGAACTTGGAGAAATGGGAAATATAACATCAGATCATTGGACTATAAAAAGACTTTTTTTAAAGAACAAGCATCTAATTGCATGTCATCATTAAGCCGTTTTCTGCCTGTTAGCTTCCAAATTAATTTCAACAGATAAAGAATTTTTACAAGTTTCTGAGCACACGCTAAGTTCTTAACTCATCAGACAATTCAAATTTCGAATTTCAACAGAACCCTTTAATTGTAGATTATTTTGCTTTCTCCCCTCAATCGTTTAATGTTTTGAGAAGTAGAGCGTTGGAAACCTGGAAAATTTTTTTTGTCGGGACAATAAACATTATAACACAAATTAAGCTAATAAGTGATTGTATCAGTAATGTTTTTCAACGAGTCATGCATAAACAAATCTCAGTTTTCCATCCAAAAAATGTTTTCAAATCTTAGATATTTCCTTACGAGTAGTCCCTAAATTTAACTTTCATCGTTTGGTAGAAAAGAGTGAATTTTCGAGCTTTGAAATATATTTTGGAAAAAAAGTGTACTATCCAGAGTTTAGAACTGAGAGGAGAAGCTCATCTATGAGTCTCATATATTCCTACATCATTAGTAAAACTACATGAAAATGAGTAGGGGAACAGACAAACTAGGCTTTCAGGATCAATAGATGAAGGTAAGCTGAAATCCCCTAAGTTGAGATATGGACATTCTGAATGATCATTGTCTGTAATTACAAGTTGGTCTGAGACTAGTAGAACGATATTTCCGCCCTGAGACTAGATATCTGAATGAACCTACATTTCAATGTTAATATCCACATGGAGAATCGAACCCATTTACTGAAGCTTTGAAAACCAGTGACATATAGAATAAGCAACTGAGATCAAATATTTGCTAAAAAAAACTCTGTTTGTTTAAAGACAGTAAACACTGGAAAATTTTTTTTCCTTTTACTTCAGTACACTATGGCAACAGTTGTTGATTGGACTTGAATAAATTAATCACAATTAATTTGTCTACCATTGGATAACTTAATTAATGTTTATATGAATGATACTTTTATTTAAAAGATACATTCATTCAAGACTATTTATCCGTTGATTTATTTTTGTATTTAAGTATAGAACATTCATACATTACATAGATAAATTCAGTTTATATTGTTTGTTTGAATCATCCTATTGATGTCTAAGACTAAAATTGATTAGCTTTTATTGGCAATATATATGGATCCTATACGGATCGCGTCGATATTACCTTAAGTCATAAAAAATCTAAGCAAAGAAGGTAGATAACATAGTTAACATTTCAGAAGTTGAAATCATGAGTCATTTGAAGCTAGACCACAATGGAAAACCTGCAAGCACTGGACGGCCGTTTCGTCCTCGTATGGGACTCCTCAGCAGTGCGCGCGAGCACTTAACCACTAGACCCCTGAGCCGGCATCCAACGGTGTTAATGTATAACTTCAACCAATCCACGAAGTTGCGCCACCGTACACCATTGTCTTCAGTGATTTCCTATCTCACAACAGACCCGGTTGAACTCCACTGGTAACGACTTCTCACTAGAACTCCAGGAGTGTCTTCTGATAATAATAATCACCTTCTCACTAGTGACTGACTTCAGGAGACACTCCTGGAGTTCTAGTGAGAAGTCGTTACCAGTGGATTTCAACCGGGTCTGTTGTGAGATAGGAACTCACTGAAGACAATGGTGTACGGTGGCGCAACTTCGTGGATTGGTTGAAGTTAGACATTAACACCTTTGGATGCCGGCTCAGTGGTCTGGTGGTTAATTGCTCGCGCGCGAAGCCAGTAGGTCCTGGGTTCGAATCCCGTGGGGTGCGAGTTCGTGGATGCGCACTGCTGAGGAGTCCCACACTAGGACGAAACGGCCGTCTAGTGCTTCCAGGTTTTCCATGGTGGTCTAGCTTCAATTGATTCATGATTTCAACTTGTGAAATTTCTAAAGATCTCCACAAAACCCATTATGATAATAGTTAACATTATCACTATGAAAACAGAAGAAAATCTCTGCTGTTAATGTTTCATCATTTGTAATAATATTTTAAAACAAATGAATTCATCCTTTCTTTATTATGAAGATTTTGTTTAAACAACTGCTTCAATGTATTGAAGATGTTTGATAGAGTTATATGAATAGTAAATATTTAAACATGACTACAATGTGAAGGGTTTTAACAAACATCTATTATTAAATATATCTCAGATGAATATGTTTCATACTTATTTGTACTTTTATTTATACATTATTAACATTTTCGTGTGTATATGGGTTAGGATATTGCCTGGGGACTCTAATCAAAGTAAGTGGCTTAGTCAGGAAACCAATTCTCTAAAAATTGAATTTAAAGGTCTAAACCATAGTGTAGTGGAGAACTGTCAGACATTACAATCTAATATTATAAAAGAATCAAAATAGTCTTGTACATCACTCATTCTCTCAGCTTCCTTAATTCCATGTATATCACTGATTTTGAATGGAAGTTTTTCAACTCCTCATAATTGACCTTCAGTATCCAACAACCTAATGTAAGCTTCGGAAATTCCCTTTTTGTCCTCTCAGTTTTGTGAAAATAATCTCACTCTACATAGAAGTAGTGAGTAGCATTTCTCTAGCAGAGCCTATGATCACGAGGATGGAACTGTTTTCTCAGCTTTTAATATTACTTGCCTATTGTGATTAACCATTCGAGTTATACTGGCTGGAACAATCGTTCCTCGAGGTCCTATGATGTCAGACAGGTTGGTTGAAGAGAGATGAGATTAAAAGCAGCGAACCCAATGGCAGATTCGTACTGCTAAATGTACAGACGTGTGACGACAGTAAGATGTTTCCTCCAGACAACCAGTATAACAGCAATGCTGCCTTCCCACAGGGAGGGTTGGGGTTAGAAAATGTCGAACTTAAAAATGCAAACCTGGCTTTATCCCACAGATATCTGTCTCTGGTGGTAAGGTCCCAACAAGTACGAGGCTTACACGAAAATTACTCACAAAACGTTCGTGTAAGGCCGACCTCAAGCAATTGTCCCTTGGGCACTACGGTCACATTCTCAGGTCACTTAGAACACCTCTAGTCCAATTTCCTTCTCATGTACCACCAGGAGAACGCTTGCATGGTGTTGGAAGCCGGAAAGTAATAATCGCCCTCATACCTCTAACGGCACTCAAGACCACTAAATAACTTACAAATTAAAAATTATAAATTTCACTCCATATCTCAGATTTATTCAAGTGACTACTGTATTTATCTTCGATTTAGTTTTATTTTTTCCCCGGAAGAATTAGATAGATTGTCGAGTGAAATGTTACAGTTTATTTTGTTACACAGAAATTCGTCATTGAAAATGAACTTATCAACTCAAAATTGAATCATTGAATTGTTTCATATTGAATGTTGGTACTTCACTTGTATACATAAATGATTGAATTATCTTGTATATCAGGCTATCTATTTATTTGCTATACTTTGATTGGTTATTACTTTCTATAAAAGAAATTTATACTAAATAGTAATATCGTTATAATAGAAATGAAGTGTTTTTTCAATATTTGTTTGAATTGTTTTCAAGCACGATGATTAAGTAGTATGATTCTTTATTAAATATTGATCCGAAAACGGTTGAAATAGCAATAATCTATGAATGAAAACGAAAGAGAAACGAGCTGTTTGTATCAGGACATTGAAGAAATAGATTCTTTTTCAATTAGTTCCATATTATTATGAATTCATAGTTGATATTTAAGAAGATTTTTCAGTCTAGGTGATTGTGTGTTTGATGAAGTCTCGACAAAAAATGAAGAAATCTCAGTTGGCTTTTACGATCTTGCATCACTTTCGGCCTAGACAAGATAGCTGTCTGGCGAGGGAGGAGAATGTATAATGTGCAATGATTTGCTCTGTTTACAAGAAACCACGATCAATGGTTAGAGACGTTGGTTATATGGCTCTGGACAAATCTTAGTGTCACAGAAGCATTCACTCTTTGTTTTTTTATGAATACTGAGTTTTAGTAATTAATATCTTTAATCCCACAAAATTGTTTTTCGCAAATCACACAATCTATTTTACTACCACTAATACCATTAACAATTCTGTTGTTTTGGTATTTTTGTTGATATTTTAATCTTGTACTTTTCAGTGGGATAACTTAAGTAAATGAACTTATGTTAAAAGTTCTAGGTTACTTACAACAGGTATCAGGTTTTACAATTGGTCAGTTCTTTATTCAAGCTAGTTACGAATGTTCTTTTATCTTTATGTGCACTTAACACTTTCCGTGTCGCTATAGTGTCAGTCAAATTAAGGCATGCAACTAAACAAGTTCATCGTTAAGTTTCTGAATATTATTAATGATAGTTGAGTACTGAATGTTCGAGGACCAGTAGTAGCTCTGTTTGCCCACAATTTATAGACACGAACCAACAAGCATAACTTTTTATCGATGTTATCTATCTAAATGATTTAGTATATCCTATAGTTTGCCTACAGAGGAAATAACATTAATCCGTTTTGACACAGACAATCTTTGTGTTTAAATCATACTCTATTTCTTTGCACTAACTATTTACTTAGCTTCAGAATAACACTGGTAGGTTTCATCGTGAACTTGTGTAACCAATTCGGATAAGTAACAAAATAAATAAACATTTTTTTAAAATGCATTTGATTATTAACTTACGAATAATGATACATAAATGTAATACACGTTGATAAAGCTTGACATATAAAAATGATTATTATCATATCCATTACATGTTAATTGTTTACAGAATGTGAGTAATCAGTATAGTTGTAAGATTATATATGGATAGTTTCTGTAGTAAAATTGAATAATATATAAATTTTATTTTCCAACTAATAAATATTCTCTTTCTTTCGAATTCTTATCATTAAATGAACAGGAGCTGCAGAAAAATCTTTACGTCATGGTGCTGTAGATAAAGCTCAAGCTGCAATGGAAGCAATACGTGCATTGATTCAACGACGTATTACTGAACGATCAGATATTTTTGAATTTTTAGCTAATGTTTTTCAAATTGATGTACATTCAATGACACATTTAAATGCTTTAGAATTTGCACAAAAAAGTATTGTAGCCGGTGCAAGTCAATGGTCAGCTAAAATTGCAATCACTGGTAAATTGTTATTTTTTTAGTATTAAATTATTCAATCTGTTTTCTTTTAATAATTTTGAATGATTTAACTTTCCATGTTGCATGTGAGATATAGATTCACCGAAGGGAAAATGGATGATAGTTGTGTAATATCGTGAATCGATTGGAGTTATACAATAACACCGTTGGATTAAGGATCAATAGTTCCGAGTTTAAGCGTTCGCATGCGCAAATGTAGGTCGTTGGCTCGATCCCGAGATGTAGGATTGTGGATGAGCACTGCTAAGGGTTCCCATACTAATAATAAAACGGCCATCCATAGCTCCCAGATTTTAAACAGTCGTCTAATTAACATCAATTTGTGGTTTAAACTGTGGTAAATTGAATTGTTAATTGTTAGAGATCAACTGAAAAGGAAATTTTCTCAAATGAAGTAGCTTGGAAGCAAAAGCTCAGTCAATCCAAAGATTGACTTTAGTAGTACTCTCGGAAGATATATATTCCATTTATAAATCGAACAGATTTGGTCGATTGTAGCTAAGAAGTATGTATATTATTAGAAACCAGTCAGTGAGAGTATCTAGTTTTACTAATAGCATTGTAAATAGCATTGCCTGTTTTGTTTGTTTCACATTCAAGTGATAAGTATCATATAAATATCATATATAGTGATTATACTTAAACCACTAATGCGACCACTCGATGTTTGTTATTAATGTTGCAGTCTTACTAAACACCTCAACCGTGAGTTATTTTCTTGTAATTCGATTTTTTGCATGGGCTTAGATTTCAGATTGGTTAGCTAATTTTCTGTATGCTTTAAGATTGTGCTTTTGTTACTACATTTACTGAGTTTTATCATTTCAGGTTGTTCTGTTTGATAAACAGTTTTTTTTACAGTCTATTTTCTTGCTATTGTAAGCGGCTAAATTCTAACGTTCTGTATGCTAGCTGACGTTATCGAGTTTACAATAGAACCATTTATATAAGAATAGCCTAATCATTCATTAATTCACAAGTATTATAGGTCTATCGGAAAACCTCAGTACATGAGTCGTTATTATCAAGATAGTATACAAATCATGGTAAAATTTACAAATATGTGCAATCATGATATTTTACTAAATCTCCTAAATCTTAATCCTTTGAATTCTTCATGTTCCATTTTTTTTCGTTCCAAATTTATCCCATTGGATTATACTTCTTGACTAACATCTTCAAACCCTGATCTTTTCGATTACTGCAATTACCTTTACTACCTCTACCACTATGGTATTTGAATCGACAATTGTAACTCTGTGGTAATGCGGTATGGCAACTGCAACTGATGTAAGTATGCACGAAGTTCTACTTTGATAGTGAATGATTGAACTATTATAATTGAGTGAATGAATGGAGATGAGAAACTTCGTGAAATATTCCACGGTGAATTAGTTTATACATCTTAAATATGTAATTATTATGTTACTTGATTTGTAAGCTTCCATTTGACTGCCAAAGCTGTTTATTTTGTATTCATAAATTTCATTAAATTAGTTATAAATCTATTATTAAGACTTATACAACGAATATCCTGGTTTTGTATACCGTGAAGTTTAATGTTTACGTCGGGTCATTTCAGGTCTCGTATTCTGTGGTACATAACTGACAGTTTGCTTCATAAGAGTAAAACCCGGTGTATTAGTATTAAAATACGATAAAGTATACTAAGAACTGATAAATACTACTTATCATAACAAGTAGCATATATAATTTATTTATTACTCATAATAATGGTTTAATTGTTCAAGGTAATAATTTTGTCGATCATCTATAGAGGCTTTACAGTATTTCGATTAAAACTAGTGCATATAATGTATGAATTCGCGGCAATTTTGAACATAACGTTCGTGTAACTCTTTTAACAGGTATAAGTTTGTATTTTTTGACTTCGTCCATATTGATCGTTGTCAGTCAGTCAGTCAGCCAGTCACCTACATTATAGGACCAGGCACATATATGCATCAGTCCAATTCGCCATACCTCATTAACACAACAAGATGAACACCGAATTCGTAGAAGTAGTTAATTCAAGAATGATTACACATAAAGATATAGTACAGGAAGAAAGAATTAGCTGGTAGAAAGAAAGATATAAGGCAGTTTTTTAATCGTTGTGAAGATGAAGATGTAGAGTAAGACGTATAGTATCCATTCGAAAGGGATCGAGCAAAAGGGCGTACATTAATAAAGGCATCTATCGAATAGGCGACTATAAAAAAGAATCATATTATTAAAGTTGAGCATTGAAAGGAGGAATAACATATTCAGTTTACTTTTTGTTTCTCAGCCCTACGACCAACCAAAAATGTAGTTATCTAAACGTCTAATGAAGAGTTCAGTTTTTATAAATATTGATTCTTCCAATTCGATGACAAATTGTTATTTTCATTACGCTAATCATGTTATGTCTTAAGTTTTAATCAAACAGCTAGAGGATAGTCTATTTAGAGGGCTGTTTCGAAAATACTTGAGAAGTGTTTAGTGAATGCTAAAAACGTGGCCTTTTTTCAGAATTAAAAAGTCATACTCGGTATTCTTTATTCTATGTATTCCAGAAACTATTGTTGTTTCTACTCTTTAGCAGAACGTAACCCACTTTTACTCATTCATTTGTTGATATTCGTGTAAATAAGAGTCAGATGACTAGGTTTTATTTAATATTATTCAGATGAACAGGTGGAGCCTAATAGGTAGATCTCACAGAATTGTTATTATTAAATAACATGAGGATTATTAAGTATGTATGTATGTCAGATTATCATCTATTCCAGTTAAAATTATACTCAAATTAACGTTTAATAGGTAAAAATGTTTAAACAGTTTATTTAAATTACAAATCTAATTAAATCACAACAATACCTTCAAGGTGATCTCACTGCAGAGGTGATAGAAGTTCATCGATTTAAACATGGGTTATATATGTGCAAAGTGTCAAGTCAGATAATCATCATATCGTAACGCAAATACATAATTTTCACTTTGCCTGTAGCTCTGCTAGAGATACTTCCGGTCCCAAGACCGTGTAAAAGAGGAGGGTTGAGCATGAGGTTAGCCACCCGATCCCGTAGATAACTAACTCGCTAAAAAACAAAACGCTAACCAGAAAAAATAATTGATTAGTTATAAGTTTAGGTGTTGTGGAGATTGTTAAGTTTTTGATTGAAATCATGAGTCAATTGAAGCTAGACCACCATGGAAAACCTGGAAGCACTGGACGGCCGTTTTGTCCTAGTATGGGACTCTTCAGCAGTGCGCATCCACGATCCCGCACCCCGTGAGATTCGAACCCAGGACCGTCCGGTACTTCCAGGTTTTCCATGGTGGTCTTGCTTCAATTGACTCATGATTTCAATCAAAAACTTAACAATCTCCACAACACCTAAAATGATAATTACCATGTGCTCACTAGTGACTAGCTTCGTGAGAAAATTCTCGGAGTTCTGGTGAGAAACCGTGACTAGTGGATCTCGTTCGTGTCGGGTAGAAACAGGTGTCCACCACAGTATAATGGAAGATGATCGCGCAATTTCGTGGATTGATTGAGGTTAGACATTAACAGAACTGGATGCCGGCTCAGTGGTCTAGTTGGTTAAGCGCCTGACGCGAGACTGATCATTTGCAATTTATTTTAATCGTTTTTTTATTTTCTAGTCATTTGTTATTATCACCTTCATGTTTTTAGTTTACTCTTCATCTTTCTCATGCTCTTTATTTAGATAATTATCTTTCACACATTCGGTTTTTATCATTTTTCTTTTAATTCTTGATCTTTGCGCGATCTTATTTTAGCCCTTGAAGTTGTGTACTATTGATTATATTCTTCAATGGATCAAGAGGAGTAATGAGCATAAGTAGGTAAGCAAGTAAGCAAGGAAGTGACATAGACATTTAAAATTCGGATTCCGACTACCCGACACGTTGATAACTTCTGGGCTTTTAAGGGCGATTTATTGTTGCAATAAAATAATCCTGGGAACTATATTACCTGACTAAATACAATTCATCAAAAGAGAATATCAAAAAAAGGTAACATCAACTTAATATAGATGTAAGTATAGCGTACATTATAAAAATTTCCTAAACCATTTAAGGATGTTTAAATGTGAGTATCCAAATTGTGCGCTATTCCACATATATAGTCTAATGTTGATCTGTTTTTGTAATCTTCTACGACCAGTTTTATACGTACTGCTGTCTCTTTACGCTATCCTTCTAAGTACTGTTCCTTGATTCCTGCATCCGACCGTTCAATTTTCAATCCATTTAGATTTTGTTAGTTCTTTAGAGCATTAATAATTTTCCATATACTTGGATAAGCGGCACTAATAAATTGACTAAAGCCTCAATGCCATTCCTGCATTGTACGTTTTGAGAAGTTCTTCCACAACAAAGAAAGAATCAAACATATTTCACACCATTACGAATGTTATTCGTACTTTCAATGCTCAGCTTTATTAATGTGAGCCTTTTTGATGGTTGCCCTTATCAATGTGCAACTGATTTCACTCTCCCTTTTGATAGCCACTTTTGTTCGCTTCTTTTCTAGTGTGAACGGAGATGGCTGAATTACAGTGTACTCGTCTGTTATCTTTTCTCAACGGATAGACAACAAAGAAAATATCCTAACATTTTCATCATTTCACTTATCTTAATATTGAGTAACACAACTCAGAATCAGTCGCAATGGTATAAATGCAGTCACTTCTTTGTTTCCCTCCGGATCTTGAGTTCTATTGTTTTATTAATATTCATAATAATAATATATTCTGAAAATAATAATTACAGAATTCACGCAAGTTTACGAGCATGATCAGTTTGATATAAATGGTAACATCAGATGTAGAAAACAAACATGTGATATAAGATAGTTTTAAGTATTTTAGTTCAGTGATTGTTTAGGCAATACATTTATGACATGTATTAAAGCAATCCAATGCATCAGCCGGGAACTTTTAATATTTCTTAAGTGAACAGCCTAT